GAGTAAAAAAGCATCACATATTCAAACATGTGTGAGAAAGGAGAGTAAAAAAGCATCACATCTTCAAACGTGTGTGAGGAAGGAGAGGAAAAAAGCATCACATATTCAAACATGTGTGAGGAAGGAGAGTAAAAAAGCATCACATATTCAAACATGTGTGAGAAAGGAGAGTAAAAAAGCATCACATATTCAAACATGTGTGAGGAAGGAGAGTAAAAAAGCATCACATATTCAAACGTGTGTGAGGAAGGAGAGTAAAAAAGCATCACATATTCAAACATGTGTGAGGAAGGAGAGATAAAAACTCATTGCCTGAAGTACAACATATACAATCATCTTTTTTCTTCAGAGGAAAAAAAATCGTTTTTTCAAGAGAAATAATGAATCATCCTGTGTACCAGAGGTACCACAAGGACTGAAGGTTTCTGAAGAGTGGACCAACAGTGAAAATTCCAATGGTCTACATGTGTGATCCTAGGAAATGAGCTTAAGATGAAGAAGACAGTGGTTCAAGACTGCTGGTGCCAAGAGTCCGCTTAATTTAAAGGAAGAGAAATATGTGTGTGAAATTACAAGTGATAATGTTGTGCTGTGCTTTGTGAAAATGTATGCCAAATCAGAGGCAGAGAATCCTCAGGAATAACCAGATGAAATGAAATATTCTGTGTGCTTAATATGATAAAATAAATAGTCAGATAGTGCCAGTTTTTATCTGAAAGGAGTCTTAAGCTTCTAAATCAACTGAGGATTTGTGTTTCAAGTTTTCCAATTCAAATGAACATTTAGTGTATTTAGTTTGCTGACGGAAAGTGTGAGGAGAAATAGTGATGGGGAAAGTGTGTAATATAGTTCTCCAGCCCATATACAGTGTTTGCTTGTGTAAAATGTGAGGAAAGAGAAGTGTATTCAAATCATTCTGTGGAGCTGATTGGATTCCGACAGAAACATCTCAAGTCAACATCGGCTGCGACGTCTGCTAGATATACAGTTCATTGTGGTATTGTTCTCATCTTAGAAGATTTAATATAAGTTGTCATAAGTTTGGAATCACTGAAATGAAGTCCACTTCATCTTAGTGTGAAATGTGTAACTTGAAATTCAATCAACATTGGATACAGAAGCTATATCTTTTTTTATTTATTTTTCCCCATCAGATATTTTATTTCCATGTCCATGTACCATAAATGGGGAGATTCAGATAATTAGTTTCTTTGATTTGTTGTGTGTTGGCGTGTTTTGGGTTTAACGTTAAGTCCTCGCAACAACTTATGTCAATAATGAAGGCCGGTTTCTAGGGAGACACTCACCAAAGAAAAGAGTAAGAAAGAATAGATCCCAAGTGTTGCAATGGAGGCAGCAGATCAATTTTAATTTCTTCAATGTCCCTGAAGTAGAAGAGACAGGAGAAAACGCCTGATTCTGCAGGGGCTTAACATTAGTCACCTTTTACGAGAAAATACAGTGGAGTCTATCTTGAACCTTCAGAAAAATGAGAAGCAATACAGATTAATGTTATCACATTGTAAGTTGTCCAAAAGAAGATAAAAAAATGTAATGGACATGTATTGTTACCGAAATGTTTTACAAATATCGTGTTTTGTTATGCTTCATTTTTCTGATTTCAACATGTCAAATTTTCAAAGTAAATAATTTTTTCCTGTTAATAAAATCTTATCACTCCCATTCTATAGTAGGTATCTCAAATCCTAAGCTGTTCATCATAACTACCGTCATTGATACGGTGTTAGTTCCAGAGGTCTCTACTGTTGTCAGTGTTGTACCTGATACCCAGCTTATTGTCCAATGTTGATGGTGGAATTCCAGTTGGTATCATTTTATATATACTTGTGTATTTTGAAATGACAACTATTTCTTTTCATACTGATACATGACAGTCCTTTTGAACCCTTTCAAATAAAAAGAAGAAAAAAAAGTGAAAAGCCAGTCACTTAAGGAACCGATCCCTTTAATCTGTGTTTAGATTACTGGCTTTTCACTTTAATCATATGTACTGACAAGGATGAAAATAGAGTACAGGAATGATTGACCTGAACGACAAAACGTATCCTGTTGTGATTAGTGTGCTTCAGTAAGTAAACGCTGATCACAGCAGGAGATACCAGGTAAACTGAATTTGTTAGTTACAAACAAGTGAATTTTGTCAGAACTGTAATGTGTTCAGGGTATGAAAAGAAAGAGATATTATGTGGTTTCTATATGTTACATAATGTATTACCAGTATACAAGAGTAGCTGTGCATCAACCTTCTCTGTGAAGTGTGCTATACAGGAGCAGGGATTTTACTGACAGCAGGGGCCTGTATCTATCTGGAATCAAGCCAGAAATGTGATAACGTCCTCCCCTGCTGTAGATTACATGGTGATAATGTTAAACTATATCAATCTTTTACTTTGTCTTTGTATGAAAGTATAATGTGTAAAAAAAATCAATTCAAATGTGTTCTGCCTAAAACCAGGGTTGTGGAATTTCAATTTTTCATTGCTATCTCGCCAGATTTGAAAAGTATTTTTTAGCTCCACCTATGCATGTATTTTCATAGTACATATTTTCCTAGCTCTTTAATAAGGTATACAAGTCCAAGGTGTTGGGCAAGTGGAATTTTACACCCCTAAATCAAAGTTAACATAAAAGATCTGTAGCAACCAATTAAGGTTTTATTTTTATAATTCACACATCAAGTGAAAAATGCATTTGCAAAATGTTCAAAGGAGAAATGTCTTAATTCTGATATGAAACTTGATGATCTTCAATTGGAATTACTCATACTCACATTTGAATATGTGTTGCTGATAAACCCATTTTGCTTGACATGTGAAATTTGGTTTAGCTTTGGTTGCACATATTTGTTACATTAATTCAAAGTAGAGTGTTTTCGTATCAGATTCTAGTGATAGACAAATATTAGTTGAATATATACTTTATATTGCTATCCCAAGTCAACACTTTTATTCTTTTGACTAAAGTTTAGAAAGTTGAACTTGTTGGATGAAGTTTTTGGTAGTTCACATTTCAAGGAATGTTTTATATTCACTCATACATAGAACATCTGTTCCTAGTATAAAAATGTGATGATAATTAAATATAGCAAAGAATTATAGCTGATGAATGGTTAATCAGCACAGCACACCCTCCCATAGTACTAGTACAAAAGATGTTTTCTGTCATTTTCCCAAAGATAATTGTTGATATTCGTTATTGGTAGCTAATCCGTATGGAATTTTGACAGTTTGATATATATGACAAAGGCTGTACTAATGTAATATTTGATTAAACTCCTCCACCTTTATAACATTATTGGGGATTGTTGATATATACCATTTAAGAAACTTTATATTGGTATTTCATCAGGATTAAGATCATTACTTGGATGTGGCTTACTGTGTTATGATCATAAAACACAAAATAAGAAATGACCATTTTAAGAGACTTGAAATTTTCCGCTGAAGAAAATCTACAAAAGCTCTTGAAATTGTGTTTATTCTGATTGATCATTCTGGCATATGTGAGACGGGATAACAAGCACTAACCTGATGAAAACCAGGCTGTATTAACGTCTCCGGGAATCTCTCTACCCAAAACAAAACATGGGGAAAGCAAAACAAGTTGTAACGAAACTTAACGATAAGGTAGATTATTGCTGTATAAGAAGTTAATGGAGAGGGGACCACTGTTGGAAATATTTTGAAAAATTTGGGGAGGGTGATTTCAATATATTTTTTTATTAATACAGACCCCAAGGCTATGCTCACATTATTTTCATAATAAGTTACTTGCATGGGTATACCGCCAAATGACATTTCTGTTTTGGTGTCGCAAAAACAAATGTGATGTGAAAAGCTCATAGCCTTTCAAAATCAGTTTAAAAGGGACTCCTAGCTTCCACATTGCATTAATTCAGTTAACATGTCAGGATGTAGAAAAGAAATACTTACTACAATTAGTAATAAACTGCAATTATGACAGAAATTTTGAAGTGTCTAATTGTTTACAAATGTTTGTGATTTTATGAGTACTGGATTATCTTGAAACTAATGACTATGTTGCTAAGCCTATGATTCATTGTAAAACTTGTTTCTGAATTTGAGTTGGAGGGTATGTCATTTTAATCTTGTTTACATGTACAATTGTGAATTAAAATTAACCATGAACAATATTTTAAAGAAACTGTACTTACTGAAATTTTTGTTTTATAAATGCAGAATACAGATCTATGGCATATCATTACCAGGGTATCAAAACTTGGACAATATTTGTAATGTGCATCAGAAGATTTGATAAAATGATAGATCTGTATATCAAAATTAAAAAATAACACTAATAAAGTGTTCATTCTTTGATGGTTGTAATTCTGCAATTTCTAAATCAAATAGAAATAGGGGGGCGGGTTGTGGAAAAAACTTGATACATAACATTCAAGTAAGAAGTATGAAAATATTCATGTTTCAAGCTCATGGCTCTAAGGTAGGTATTGCTGTAAATAAAAAATCTGCTTGTCTTAATTCTTCCTACTTGGAATATTTCTGGTTTTGTACAAAAATGCAAGTGTATGAAGCCAGCAAATAAAAAGATATTTGTCCGTACACAAATATCTTGAGCAAAGTTTGTGTTTCAAGGTCTCTACACTGTTAAAAAAAAATACTTTTTATTTGCTGGCTTCATTTTTCTTCTTACTTGGAGGAAACTTTATAGAAGTAAACTAGACATGATCGCATTTCTGGGTCTTAGACCCAATCTTGGCAGGTATAAGGCGATTGATGATATGCTATCGGTGGTAGTGTTTTTTATCCAATGTTAATTCTGTTTGCTATCACTCATGGACTGTTGGTACCTTTCTGGGGAAATTTTTAGGGGAAATACCTCGATTTTTCTTTCAAATTGGCATGTAGTTTTTTCAGCTTGACCGCCCATATGATCAAGAAGGTTTGACTTTTCACCTGGTAAGTCCTTTGTATGTGACCCCTTTGTTTTGCTACTTTCAGCCAAACTGGTAAGCGGCTGATGGCTAAGTGTCGAATGCTCCTTCAGGAGAACGAGGAGCTCGGAAAGGTGATCAACTCTGGAAAAACAGCTCAGTTGGAAGGAGAAATTGCCTTACAGAAGTCCCTTGTCCAGGAGATGACCACCAACCAGTCTGGTAAAGAGTCTTGGTCATCATTGTATACAGTAGTGCTGCTATGTCCCCATATTCAGTAAATATATCTATTAATATAGGAGCTCAAGATCAATCCCTAAACAGTTTCTTTATCCATTTATTTATCATAGTATATTGTAAAACAAATGGTAACAAAATCTGAAATCAACTCTTTATTAGTCCCCCAGCCATACTATCAGACGGGATTAGAGTCCCCCAGCCGTACTATCAGACGGGATTAGATGCATCACTTTTCTGTAGCATGTGTCATGTGCTCTGTCAAAATCTGTATACAAGTACCAGATACCTCTTTGGAAAGCAGATTTGTGTGGACAGAAATTGAGTATTGCGCCCAGCTATTCACAGAGCTTTGGCCTTTTGTATATTTTAGATTGTGCAGTTTGTCCAGAAGTAGGTGACTTTAGCACAGGTATTCTGATGTATAGTTATTTTGCCATGTATGATGATTCGGCTTCACCTTGTGGAAGAAATTTCGGATTGTAATAGGTCTTCTGATAACCTTTACAAGGGATTGGACTATAGTTTAGAAGAACACAATTTTTCATACAAGTGTACAAAATGTATCGTTTGATGTTTTGTTTGCTTTACAAGATGTAGGAGCAGGTGTTTTTTGTACTTTGCTAAGTACAGAGAGTTATCGCCCCTTAAACATTCTGCTATCAAGGGGAGAAAGTACAGTGAACATTGGTCACTCTGCAAATAAGGGGAATGCAACAGACCCGGTCACTGCCAATGAAAGGTGGGCAATGGACACTGGTCACTGCCAATGAAGGTGGGCAGTGTCCACTGGTCACTGCTAATAATGGCAGGGCTTTGGATCGTGATCACTTTACTAATAAGAGTGGGCAAATTAATCTTGTATTCTAAGGATAAAGCATTTTTTCTGCTGCTTCTGAATCATCTATTTAAAAGTAATAACATTTGAAATCCATTCTTTGTTGCTTTACCAGAACTGGATGACCTGCTGGGTGACCTTGACGAGGATGTGGAGGGAATGCAGAGCATGATCTATGTGTTACAACAGCAGCTCAAGGACGCTAAGGAACAGTTGGGACTTGTACAGGAGGAGAATGCACAGCTACGTCTCACACAAAATACCACCCCAGTCGCTACAACAATCGTGCCTCCCACAGACGTTAAACCAATCGTGAAACAGGAGGCATCTAGTTTCCCCAACAGTCCAATCACAGACACTGTACCGCAGAATACATGGACAACACACAGTGATAGTAAGTATGAACCATCACAACAGTCACATGACTGTCACATGGACAACGTCAAAGAACAACTAGAGACACCTGATGGTAATGGTAATGGTGAAATACAGGCAATGGATACTGACCAAATCACTTCGTCAGATTCATACAATGTTCATTCATTATACACAACCAGCACAGAGCACAATCACAACACAGATCAGAATGACTTGGTGGAACAGTATAGAACAACTAAAACAGACGCTCAGCTCCTTGAGAGCACAGACGATTTATCACAGGATGCCTGGAGTCCACGGAAACCAGCACTCGACCAACTGGAAGAGGACAGTGCTTTACGGAAATCACATGAGGAGTTAAGTTGTAGCCCTGATACAACTAGCTTGGACAAGTTAGGGGAGCGGGAGCTATCATCAGGGGACTTCTTACACATACAGAATGGGGTCAGTAGGACTTGTACCAGTGATAGTGAGATTGAACAGGCGTAGATTTTACCAGTGTGCCATCAATCACTGTCACTACTCATATACTCATCCCAATGTTCAAACACATTTCATTTACAAATAATGTTTATAAAGTGAATATTTAAAGAATCAAAAGAGTCCATCTCTAGAATAAAACGCTGCACCATTTTATGAATTTGTACCTTAAAAGGTTATTTTATGAAAGTTCATATAACATGTTTTAAAAATAAAGTTCATTGACGTAAAGTATTGTATGTTAATAAAAATGGTTATATCATGGTAAGTAAAACATTGTATGGTTGAATTGGTATCTTAATTGGCCTGTCTATGTGATGGATTAATAGGTTTCAATTTAGATCCTTTAAAACAAGACTGCTAGATTTCAACGGGGGGGAAAGGGAATTTTACGTAAGAATGTGAGATGTAAGGGAACTTTGTAATGTACAGACATTCAAGAAACATGGGGCCTTTGATACAGTGTAATAGTAGGCACTTGATCACACATTGAATAGAAAATCAGCTTTGTGCAATGAAAATAACTCAATATACATGTAACACTTGAACTGAGTAAAATGACATTGCTTTCTAGAATAAATGCTGGTTCCATTACAAATTATATAAAACAAGGTGAAAATTCTCTTGTGAATTAATTAACTTTTATAGAAAGTCATAAGCTCTGCAAATCAATATCAGAGAATATCGTGATTTTTTGCCATGCTTTATTTTCAAATGGAAATCAAAGATTTAAAATGGGGTTTTTTTTGTGCTTGCTTATTTCTGACAGGCATTGACTGATGAAATTGAAGTATCAAGATGTCTTTTAACATTTAAACAGCCAATTGAAACATAAGTTGATCATCAGTGTTTCCTCTTATTCTGAATAGTATGTCAGTTGATACAAGTCAGAATATTGGTTTAAGAATAGACTTTTCTTTTTGTTATCAATAATTCATGTATATTTCACATAGTGTTCTTGTTATAATTTAAATGATCAGCATGATAAAATGTGATTTGTTTTACACTTGTGTTAATTCGTAATTTCCTGATTCCACTACAGTGTGGGTGAGTGTCATAGTAAATGTTAGCTTGCAGTCATACCCTTTGATACATTTTCTTCGGACTTTTAATGAAATCACAAGATATATTGATAATGAAATGATATTGTCACCTGAAGGGTTGTTCGAATTATCAAATTTCAAATGTTGTGATATGAATTTCTGACTTCAAATGTACAGCATTATGATGTATGTGCGATTGAAATTGAACAAATACTGTGTTCAGTAGAGACTAGGAAAATGTGAAGTTTCCCTAGGCCTGGTTCAGAGGCTGAAATCATTTAAAGAAAAGAAAGAAAAGTGGTTCTGTAGAAAGAGCATATCATAGGTCTGTTTTAGCACAATATCTGACAGCAGGCCTAGGTTAGATTAAAAAACAAAAATATCAAATTGTTGACAATCAGTTTTACTGCTTTCACATTGTTACAGGAAAGGGTTGAAAGCATGTTGGTGATCAGTCCATTCTAAATCAAAGGATTTAATCTGGTATAGTGGAAACATTGAACAGCATATGTTTTAATTTCGTTCGAATTTTTCCTGGACTATACGACGAAGATGTTTTTATGGGCAGACTTGTTAAGGGTGGTAAAAGTTTCCTTATGTGTTTGCCGTGTTATGGGTTTAGTAAACAACACTGTTGATTGGCACACAAGTCATTACACAAAAACAGGTTTCAGTTTCCTTGTAGACAAGGAATATTGTGTCAACAACCACCTTTGGATTCTGGCCTGAAAGGTCAGATATCATCAAAGTTATTTATGTGTTTACTAGGCTATAATTGTTAAAACAAATTATGATGTCATATTTTTACCTGGTATTTTTTTAAGTTAGATAGCTGACATTGGCTTATCAACATTAGCAAGCGCTGCTGTTTTCTAATCAATATTCACATTACAAGAACATGATGTTTTGTATGTCTTATTTCATGGAATGAATGGTTTATCATGCAGATGTTGTTTGTGTTCAGGTCTATGTGAATAAACGAGGCAGCAAATGAGAACTTACATCAGGACTTGTGTTTTGTTTGTTAGTGGGAAAGAATATTTTGAAATAGATGATGTGATATCACATAAAATTGTCTGGGTAACACTCAGACACTTCAACACTACATACAATATGAAGATGACCACAATTTCACTTTGGAGTGAGTTTCAGTTCAGATTGACTTGGAATCGGCTGATTATCTTATTAGTCCATTATTGATGAGCTAAGACTGAGCCATTGAATTATGTATTAGTCATACCTTCTGAATGGCCACACATGTTTTAATGAAATATGTAAGATGATAGAGAGACAAAGCTGCTTGAGAAACCATCTCCATTAACAGACCGTCTGAAACCCACTTTTTAAGCAGTCTCCATTAAAAAATAGATTTCCTTGTTAACTGAACCTGTATCAAAGACCACTATATAGACCTCATGAAGTGGGTGTTTGAATACAGGTTTTACTCTACCAGCTTCAACTGAGCAGTGTCAAGTTCAACTATTGGATCTTTATGAAAATGCAAGAATGAAGTAAAGGTTCATAATATCAGACAATAATAATGTTTGTCTAGGCCTTAATTGCTGTACAGGCTGAAGTATTGCTGAGCATAGTGTAACCTTGTCTGGCTGGTTTATTGTTTTGCACGGTCAGTTATGGACTTAGTACTGCAGCTAGGGTCACAAAACTTCAATGTTCATGCACCTTCATCAGTAAAACATGATGCACAACATTTTAGTGACCCTGACCTCGGTGACCTTGCTTTAATTCTCTGTGTGGGTGCAAGGCATCCGTGTCTTCCAGACACGTCTGTTTTAATGCACCTTCAGTGACAGATGAATTATGACATGATGGTGTGTCACCTAAACTCTTTGAGTCTGTACTAAGTTCAAAGTCTCAAAATAGGGGGTCAAAGTTCAAAACATTCACTTATTTACTTAATACGGCAATAATATATTTTTTATGAAATGTCATAGAAGGATGGTGTGTGATAAATCACTGTCATGTCCTTAATTCCAAGGTCAAGGTCACATCGAGGTTAAAACCAATTTTCCCAAGGTTAACTTTGGTATTCAAAAATAAATGATTCAAACTATCAATTAACAAATTGAAATTTATGTAGTTTTCAGATTCCCCTAGTGGGGTTATTTTTGAGACATTACGATATCCAATATCGCAACCATTTCGAAAATCCAATGGAATTGAAACTAAAATTATATTAAACCATTTGCACAAAACTAAGCTGGAAGTATAAACACCTGGACCTGACCAATACTTTTTGATTTGCCGTCAATCTGAAAGCATAGCAGCCATTTTAAAAGTATCTTTGGAATCTAAACTAAAATTGTACAAAGCGGATTTCACAGAAATTAAGTTTGAATGAACAGCACATGGTGCTGAAAATGAACAGCACATGGTACTAACAATGAACAACACATGGTGCTAACAATGAACAACACATGGTACTGACAGTTAACAACACATGGTGCTGACAATTAACAACACATGGTACTGACAGTTAACAACACATGGTACTGACAATGAACAGCACATGGTACTAACAATGAACAACACATGGTGCTGACAATGAACAGCACATGGTACTGACAATAAACAGCAACTGGTACTAACAATTAACAACATGGTGCTGACAATTAACAACACATGGTACTGACAGTTAACAACACATGGTACTGACAATGAACAGCACATGGTACTAACAATGAACAACACATGGTGCTGACAATGAACAGCACATGGTACTGACAATGAACAGCACATGGTACTGACAGTTAACAACACATGGTGCTGACAATTAACAGCACATGGTACTGACAATGAACAACAAATGGTACTGACAATGAACAACACTCTGTACTGACAATGAACAACACTCTGTACTGACAATGAACAACACATGGTGCCGACAATGAACAACACAAGGTACTGCCAATGAACAACACTCTGTACTGACAATGAACAACTCTCTGTACTGACAATGAACAACACATGGTGCCGACAATGAACAACACAAGGTACTGCCAATGAACAACTCTCTGTACTGACAATGAACAACACTCTGTACTGACCATGAACAACACATGGTGCTGACAATGAACAACATGGTGCTGACAATGAACATTACATGGTACTGCCAATGAACAACACTCTGTACTGACAATGAACAACACTCTGTACTGACAATGAACAACACATGGTACTGACAATGAACATCACATGGTTCTGACAATGAACAACACATGGTACTGACAATAAACAACACATGGTGCTGACAATTAACAGCACATGGTACTGACAATAAACAGCACATGTTTTTGACAATGAACATCACATGGTTCTGACAATGAACAACACATGGTACTAACAATGAACCGCACATGGAGCTGACAATGAACAACACATGGTACTGACAATGAACAGCACATGGCACTGACAATGAACAACACATGGTACTGACAATGAACAACACATGGTACTGACAATGAACAACACATGTTACTGACAATGCAATTTCCTGTTAATTTGGAGCATTCTCTATCCATAGTTGTGGTTCCTTAACTTACTAATGAGTAGAGATTGATTTGAAATCCAATATGGCTGCCAGTTTGAAAATAAAGTCTAAACTTCAAATTCAAATTCTAATGAACTTATTTTACCATCGTTTAATGGGAATGATCAACACATGACCAATACTTGTTATTATGAGGCCGATTTGAAAGACAATATTGCAGCCATGGCAGCCATTTTGAAAGTCTTTTGGGAATTTTAACTAATAGTCTACTGAACTGATATCGACGATATTTGTTCAGAATGTTTTTATGTTGGAGCTGATTTGGAATCCAGTATGGCTGCTTTTGTAGCCATCTTAAAAGATAAAACGCTAATTTTTACTGAACCGATTGTTATCGATATTAAGAAGAAAAGGCCAGTGGATTGTCCTTACCGATTGCTTTTGTCTGTAAATACAACATAGCCAACGTGGCAGTTACCTTGAACGTATATTTTGCACTCATGGTATTGTCAGAATGATTTTAAGCAAAGTTGCATGAAATTGGTTCTACATAAGACAGATTTTAAATGTTGAGCCGTTCGATATTCGACAATCAGATTTTAAATGCCGCTCAACATTCAATATCATTGAATGTCTATAAATATGTCGCTGTTGAGTCAAATTCATGCAAATTTAAAACTATTGTGAAGTGCCAAGTAGTGGCTCTTACATTGAAAATCTTTTCGACAGGTCATAAATGGCATGTGAGTGTTAATTAAGGCCCCTTGGGCCTCTTGTTACATAATACCGGTATTTCGTGGATTGTACCAGCATAATTTATGAGGACAATAAGTATGTCAGATTGACCTACTTTTTGCATGCGGCAATGCAAAGTCAGGAATAACAATCATAACAATTTCACCAATTCGGAACTTTTGCAGAAAAAAAGGTTTTCTTTTAATGTCATAGAATGATTGCATAATCCCAAAGTATAAGGTCCACCATGCTATATTCCCCAACTACGGGTATACGCCTTAATAATACTTTTGAAACGATTTAATAATAAAACACGTAAAGGGACATATCTTGGTATTTTTACAAGAGATCTACTTCACTCAAATATACGAAATTGCAGTTTGCTATTTACAGACGTCAAACACATCGTCACGTGATGCATTCAGATTGATAATTATTTTATAAGTTGGCTGTATGTCAAAAAGGATGGACACTTTTCCATGAACGCCCATA